CGGAATTTCGATCCCAAGGCCTTTCTGTTTGATTACATATGAAGGGCACCTTCCATCAAGGAGGCATTAACGATCCTCTCCTTCGTTTTGAGCCGCAGTACGACGCAATTCTCAGGGTTATATTTTATCAGTCATTTATTGGACCATTCACATTTACAGTTAAGTCCTTTTTGCAGGGTCCGCTCATCATTCTCACAGTTGATCGCTCGCAAAACTTTGATGTCACAGGCAAGCATAGCTTTTTTGCAGCCCATTCCATTCATACAGTCAGTGAAATAACCTGAAAGCAGTAATGGTCCGAGCACAGAGTCCTGAGGTAATCCACTCACAATTGGCATCGAAATTGATTTCGCACTGCTAGCGTACACAGATCGCGATCGGATGGTCAAGAAGTCTTCAATCCAATTTATTCGACTCCCCTTTATCCAATATTCTCGGACATTGTGGAGTAACTAACGGTGTGGGACACTGTCAAAGACCTTCTTGAAGTCGACGTAAACGACATCGACTCTTGTGTCTCCGTCTAACGAGCGGGACTACTATCCCATTGGATAGGGCATATTTGTTAAGCAGGAGTGATTTCGTAGAAAGTCATGTTGGGTACTATCAAAGGAACCCTCGTTATGGATCCACCCTGGTGAATGGGACATGCATTCGCCACCATCCAATCAGAGGGGAGAATGCCTCAGTCAAAGGACGACTGGAAATATGCAAAAGCAGTCTTGCGAGTTCGCAAGCCAGTTGGCCGCCCGCCAATTGCCAGAAAAGTGTCAAGCACAGACCAGCCTACTCGATCTGAAAAAGGCGTTCGAGACAGTGGATCTTGATGAACTCTGAGAAAGGATGCGAAATAGGGATGCCCTGAGCGAGTCACTTGGATGGTAAGACTGTTTCACAACAGAGCAATGGTTTGCGTCGCAGACAACCAGACATTCCCTGAAGCATTTGCGTTGACCAATGGGATGAAGCAGGACTGTGTACCCGTTCTTAGTCTTTTCAGTCTCATATCATCCACTATGCTAACGAACGTCTTTCGCGAGAAGCTGCTGTGGTTCGAATTCAGCTACCGAACCGATGCAAGACTATTTAACATCATTTGGATAAAGGTCTCTTCAAGGGAAAAAACATGAAACAAAGTGTGAGCTTCTTCGCCGCTGGCTGCTCCGAGCACCTATCTCGACGCTGTCTCGCTCTCGTGAGTGTCTACGCGTGCGTACTAGGACCGTCTGGAGGCGTCGGACGTGCCCTCGACCGCCTGTTAACTCCTTCGAATCCCTGCTCCAACTGTTCTGTACAGCATATACAATCCTCTCAACTGGTGTTCATCTTCCCTTCACATTCGGGACCGGGCCTGAAGGTGGTGGTGGTAGCCAGGGTCTCATTCCCGGTTTGGGCTTCTACGAGAGGATCTCAAGAGCCAGCCAAGACTTCAACCGGCTGAAGTACTTCGCCTGGCACCGTCACGGTAGCCTGCTCAACTCAAGATTGAGGATGTGCAGAGCTGCTGAGCGGACAGGGATCTTCTACGAGATGGAGACGTGGTTTGCCTATGAAGGCCAGGCAGGAAGTTTTTGGTCTTAACTGCCCCTAAAGAATACCGTGGGTCGAGCGACAAGAAAGGATCGCAGATCGCAGAAAAAAACGGCGTCCTCACTATCCTTACCATGCTGAAGCAAATACAACTTCGATGGAGTGACATCTCGTAAGGATAAACGACATGTGCTTATCAAAAGCGGCGTCTCAGCTAGGGGTTGACGCAGTCAAAGTAGACAAAGACGCCGCCAAAAAGACACCTTTAATACCTCAATCAAACACTTAAAAATCAATTCGGAAATCTGGAGGGACATCACCCGAGCTCGACAGTCATGTCTCACTGTCGCGAAAGCTAAAGCAGCCATCTTTGAGCTCAAACCAATAGCCGCTGAGAGAGAGAGAGTCCTGTGAGACTCAAGTGCTACGAACTGACGTTGCCGGAACCCAACTCTTGCCATCGTGTTCAAGGCCGTCAACGGATATTCCGGACACGGAGCTGTCTCGCGGGACATCTGCGGACCTGGTAAAACGTTAACATGAATAACCCACCTTTAATCTCAAAAAACAACACTTCTGTCGTTACCAACGGAAACATCAGTCCGGACATTCCTATCAACCTACGAAACAGTACCACCATTATCCCTTACCACCAACAATACAGACACAATGTTAGGGGGCGCACACCGATCGTTCATACGGAACTCACTCGTTCCGTTGTGCCTTAAGGGCTCTCTCTCGAGCCCAACCAGCAGCCGCACAGCGGCGCATGATATATATAGGCAGAATAGCATTACCGACAAAGACAAGGGAGACTGGAATGGCCATTTCTGGCTTATTAGCCGTCGTCAGCCAGCCATACCCAAGCCCGAAGTGTGGAACACCCGAGCCTCGAACTCGCGACCTGTTGGTTTAGAAGTCAACGCCTCTACTCACCGGGCCACGAGCCCGTTGCCTTGTCGGTTTTCGATCGGGAATATACAATGTTAGGGGGCGCTCACCGATCGTTCATACGGAACTCACTCGTTCCGTTGTGCCTTAAGGGCTCTCTCTCGAGCCCAACCAGCAGCCGCACAGCNCCGATCGAAAACCGACAAGGCAACGGGCTCGTGGCCCGGTGAGTAGAGGCGTTGACTTCTAAACCAACAGGTCGCGAGTTCGAGGCTCGGGTGTTCCACACTTCGGGCTTGGGTATGGCTGGCTGACGACGGCTAATAAGCCAGAAATGGCCATTCCAGTCTCCCTTGTCTTTGTCGGTAATGCTATTCTGCCTATATATATCATGCGCCGCTGTGCGGCTGCTGGTTGGGCTCGAGAGAGAGCCCTTAAGGCACAACGGAACGAGTGAGTTCCGTATGAACGATCGGTGAGCGCCCCCTAACATTGTATATTCCCGATCGAAAACCGACAAGGCAACGGGCTCGTGGCCCGGTGAGTAGAGGCGTTGACTTCTAAACCAACAGGTCGCGAGTTCGAGGCTCGGGTGTTCCACACTTCGGGCTTGGGTATGGCTGGCTGACGACGGCTAATAAGCCAGAAATGGCCATTCCAGTCTCCCTTGTCTTTGTCGGTAATGCTATTCTGCCAATACAGACACAGTTCTCTTTTTTCATCGTTGAGATCGCATCTTTACGTCAATTGCGAATTCACCGCACTAGGGACCAGCGAACCAGTGCCTCTAGCTGTCGACATACGAACGCCACACACGCCTCATCTGCTTACAATGCCCCAGGACATTCAGACACCTCGTGTGTCTAGCCGGCCATATGCATATACATGACAATTAAATGCGTCATAATGTCTTCATAAAAAGCTTACCTTCTGCGCCTGAAAACCCCTCGACCATTTACACTACTAAATCCCCCACCACCAGCATCGTCACGACTAAAAGCATCTTTGCCACCACCACAAACTCAACAGCCACAGTATCGTCCTAACACCGCCCATTTGCATCACGCTACGGCATGGTCGGGCAGTTGTTAATCCATTGCATCGAGATTGGCGAACCAGGGCCAGAAGCGTTAATACACACCCGATGCGCCCGCCCCACCTGCGCCCCCACGGCACTCAACGTATATTCGGCGTTTTCAAAAATGACAGATTGATGGCGTGGCAATGGGCTCATCTCTTGGATCGTTCCTTGCAAATTTTTTTGTGGGCAAAGTCGCGAAGACAAGATTACAGGATGCCATTAATGGCCTCATCTTTTACGGTTGGTACAATGTGCATCTACTCATTTACTTGCTCCTGTGGAGCGGGATACATCGGCCGTACAACGATACGCCTGGTAAAGAGGGTGCGTGAACGTATGCCTGCCTGGCTAGACAGCGGTGAGACCCGATCGATCTCGTGTTCTATTCTCGCACATTTAATCGATACGGATCACCGAGTCGATGCCAAGGAAGCATTTCAGGTTGTATATCGGACACCAACAAGCTTCTCTAAGTGCCTACGCCGATGGATACTAGCAACGACCGAGGCAGTGGCTATACGGCTAGCGAATCCTGTGTTATGCTGTCAGAAAACCCTGACACAAGCGCTCTCTCTGCCGTGGCCAACGCCAACCCCAAGTGATGACGACATGTCGCCTCAAATTCCTAGTTACAGTGATGGGTAATCTATGTACTCGATCCTAGAACACCACTCTCTCTTATCCCCCTCCCCTAGCTCTAAGGACCAAAAGTGTTAATGACTTAATAGCCCCTGAGACACATATAAACACTGTTAATTTTGCACATTTTCATTCCTTTATGTAACTGTACTGGCCTGACGAAGAAGTACCGAAAACACGTGTTTGCCGACTTGACTTTTCAAATGTGAAGCTGTTGTAAACTATCTAGATGTGCTAAGAGCCGTAACTTGGAAGGCTGCCAACTGTCTCCTCCTATCAGGACGGAAAGTCAGGCTGCAGTGGCTCCTCCTTAGCGCGACCTTCATGGCACTCCCCCACAATTGAGATCCGAACCGTCATCCACCCGTTTTTAGTGTGTAAAATGCTGATCCCTTGTGCACGGACCTGGAGATGTGGTGGCACACCTTGGCACGGGTTCTCTCCTCGTCAATCACCTGCGCGGTAGATGCAGCGCAAGTCCACTGCCATTATAAGCCAATCCCCGCGTAAGTCACCGTCCCTGAATCCATCCGGCTGTGGGACACACGGTGGCCATTGTCATGAAGGCGGTCTAACTGTCCACTTGGGTTCTCATACCCGAAGAAATGAGATGAGAAACAACAGCAATACGCTGATAGATGGGGTGTCGTTGAGTACTAATAGGGTCGCGAGCGCCAAGGCAAGCAAAAATAACAACTGTTTTAGCACAACGAATTTTAGAAACTCTATTGTCGAAATGTGCACAAGAAATCACACAGTTAAAGTTCGCCGTCTGCGGTGGAACAGTCTACCTATTTAAACAGACGTTCATGGCAGAGATCGAGAGGGAGGGCTTGCTCGACAGTCTGCGTAGCTTGCTCTACTTGCATGGCGTCTCCGGTGGAACGCCGCGGTTCGGGACGTAGGGGATCTTCCGCTCCACCATCTTAATGCAGTCAGGAATGGGACAGACGGAGAGGCAAAGGCCGCATCCTGTGCATTCGTCTGTGACGAAGGGGAAATGCGTCTTGGCGTCAAAGGTGATGGCCTGGTAACCGGAGTCGTTGCAGGTCATGTAACATTTGCCACAGTTGACACACATGTCCTCATCCACCTTCGCCACCACCTAAAATCAGAAAAAAGCGCAGTTATTGACCTACTTTGGGGACAGCTTCCGAACGCACATCTATCACGGGGGCGTCAATTAGTCCGCTGTCCTGAGTAAAGTTGAAGTTGATATCCACTTTCCCCTACCCTTGCTTTACTCCTTATCTCAACTCATGTGCTCCATCCTCGCATCAGACAACTGACCAGCTGGGAAGGGGGAAACAGAGAGTGCGGTCGACTGTTTCAACGCATATTCCCCGCTTTCAACAATCTGACACTCTTGTAAATCATCACGGTGCGCTAAAAGCCATGACTTGAAAGGCCTTCATCTGAAGCCATAATTTGCTCTTCCTGTCAGGAAGTAAAGCCGGACTGCACTCCCGACCAATCGACATCCAGGCCGTCCATCGTCCTCCCGTTCCTGTTTTATGTGGGCCAGGGAGTGTGATGACATGCCTAGGTGCGGGTTCGCGCCGCATTAGCCATCTGCGGCCTCACCAGCCTCCGTTCTCTTTGACTCTGTGGAGTGGGAGGAGGGAGTACGGTAGACGCAGCGCAAGTCTACTACTCACGCGCGGTTCATTGTCCCTACTCACGGTGGACATCGTCGGCCGAACTGACGTCATCTCATTCGATATCTTCATCTAATGGATCATCACGGTACGGCGCAGACTATGAAAGACAATTATTCACAGAGACTATGGAAGACAACAAATGTTTCCGCGAGCTATGTGTGTTGCCGTTGCACACAGACGTTTGACGACGTTTTGCGGTGTCGACCCATACAGTTACTGGCTAACTGCATGAAAAGTCTATCACTCAGGGACAAACATAAACCATAAGTATCCTGGCCGGTTGCCCGTTCTTTTTAAGAATGTGTCATTTGGATAAGGCCTATCGCTGTGATTTGATTGATCTTGGGGCAGCTCGCTAACCGATCAAGGCTGAAGCACGCCAACTAACACAAGAAGAATCGGGACAGTAGTTTCGCCACTGATAACAGAAACGAAGAGGCTAGTTCCTGAAAGTGGTCGCGAGGGAGGAGACGCAATTGCTGGAAAAAGAGCTTTTTTAGCCTGAAGTTTCGGATCCTCACTCAAGTCCATCATCGGAGACAGAGTCGGGTAAAGGTAGTGGATAGTCCAGGTGTTGCAGTATTTATAGGATGTAGTTGCTAGGCCGCCATATGGCTACCACAGTTGGCAGCTCCTGAGTACATCGCCGCTCGACTGGCCAGGTGTTAAATTATGCAGTTGCGATATGCCTGTGTACCCATGCTCATCGCACGCAGTCGAGTTGCTGACTGCCGTATTTAGTCATCCGTATGGACTCTTGGCAGTTTGGCTTGCAGAATTAGCAGCGAACGGGCAGGTTGTAGTTCGTGCCTAGAGCACGGATATGATATCAGACAGACATCAAAGCTGAAGCAATCAAGGCCAGCAGGAACAACCAACACACTACTCTGACGATGGAAACTAGAGTTTCCAAAACCTCAGTCCATATTTATTTCGGTCCATAAACTTCGTCCCTTTGTGCGCCACTCGAATTTGGTGCTTCCTTAAGTGTCTTTCGATGAGTTTAGACTTGGTGAACTTGGCGAACTCTTCCTTACATTAAGAATGTGTCTGAACTCGTCGAAAGACACTTAAGGAAGCACCAAATTCGAGTGGCGCACAAACCTGCGACTACTTTGCGCTCTCAGCTGGTACATCCTAAGGATAGGGTTAACCAGCTGAACAAGAAAGAGGTCGTCTACAAGATACCGTGTAATGCATGTACTGCCGTCTATTGTGGCCAGACTGGAAAATCCGCCTCAACATGCATCCATGAGCACCAGTTGGCAGTAAAGAGGCGAGACTATCCGTCTCAGGTAGCCATGCATACTCTGGACACCGGGTACACTTTCGCTTGGGGCAAAGCTCGCGTTGTCGCGCTCTGCCTTTTCAAGAAAGGCCGAGAATTCTTCGAGGCAATGCACTCTGATGAATCATGCATCAACCGGCATATCAAGTTGGATGCCGTGTACAGAAACCTGAAGGATAAATGGAAGAGAAGGGAGCCAACCAGCTCAGACTGACACACGGCGGCCGCCTACCGGCGCACACGCCATGAAAGTATCGATTTTTTGTGCACTCTTAACGCTATCTGTTTCTTGCTTTCACATTTGCTTCCCGCTTGCATCTGACAACGACCTGGGGAAATAGTGCCGAAAAATTTACGCAATAAGCCCTCTTGTCCCAAAGAACCCATCCCTTTTCAACTTATATCGCTTGGGATGCCTACCTTTCAATACTTACGCATATATATGTATATATAGATCATCATCCCCAGAGCTCGCCTTACTATCTTCTTCAATCTCAACACCTGGGGTCAGCATTTTCGCCTATATCCATATTCATACATATGCATGCTGAATGCACACTACCTCAACTATCCATATATATTCAATCAGGAATGGGCGCACATCGATCTATTGGCTTCACGAAGCAACCAAGCTCCGTATGGGTGGCAAAGGTCACGAACATGCAACCAATTACCGGGCCGAAGTCGGCCAAGTCGAAATATCAGCAGGTGAAGCCAATAGATTGGTGTGCAACCAACACACTACTCTCATGATGGAAACCAGAGTTTCCGAAACGTCGGTCCAAATATATTTCGGTCCCTAAACTCGTCCCTTATTCTTCGTCTTCTTCTTCAGGGCATGAATAAGACAACATATATATGTATTTACTGGGTCCCGTGGAAAGGACCACTTTGGCCTGAAAATTATACAGTGAGTGAACGATCTCATGAAATTCTAAAATACGCTTTCGATTAGAAAGGATTACTTAGATGGGGTTGTAAGTTTAATTGCCTTGCGACAAAATCCTATAAAGTTTCACACTCACCGGGATGTTGCTGCAAGCGCGTTGGCGACTTCAGGTTGGATGTGCCGGATTCTGAAGCAGTCTCTGGCAGTAAGTGTAAGATCCGGTTCCAAAAAAGAATCCAAGATGATAAACAAACCCTGAGATCTGATGGAGTACTTCTTGAGGATTCGCACCAGCTAAAAGACTACGGCATAGAGGATGGTTCTACTTTATTCCTCTGCCTTCTTTTAGACTTTTCAAAGGAAATTAACGTGAGCGTAGCTCTGCCGTCTGGACGAATGGTGAGCCTTTGGGTCAATGAGAAAGACACCGTGGACGGCCTGAAAGAACAGCTGTGGCGTCTGTGTCGATTGTCGGCGCAAAGTTATGAGTTAGCTTTAGACGGAGCACTATTGAGAGGAAGTCAGACTTTGGCATCGTGTGGACTGGAGGATGAATCCGTCCCCACTGTTATTCATTATTTGTCGACGGAGTCCGAAAGCAACTTGAATGTCTTCCAGATATATGATAAGACCTTAGCGGGCAACACAATTTCGCTCAGCGTCTACCCGACAGATACGATATATGCTGTGAAGTGTCCCGTGGAATCAAAGTAGGGCACTCCAGTGGACCAACGGCGCATGGCTTTTGCGGGCAGGCACACATTGATGGATTACAAGATAGAAAAAGAATCTACACTTCACCTTGTCTTGATATTGAGAGGCGAGTAGAATGACGTCAAATGTAGGATGCGAAATTTCCAATCATTGATTTTAAAATATTGTTTACGACTGTTTCCACACCGCGCTCTCGAGTCCACAAAATGATGTTTTTACTGTCAAAAGTCGGTGTTGTTCAATACTGTTAGTTCTTTCTACGACGCGTTTAGGTATTAATCTTCTGAATTGATTTCTGGCAGATATGAATTGGATGATTATAAAGTATATGTGGTGCAAATGTTTAACGTATCGTACTTGCTAAAATGACTCTGGTACGATAAAATGACATAAATGTGTTATGGCTGCACGGATAACATGCTAGGCCATTTAAGAAACTTTTATTTAAACCTCGGACATAGCCTTAATACATGTTAGATCTAGTCCTTACCCCTTGACCTAATTTTAGCTCCTGTCTATTGACGCGGTGTCCGCCGGCATGTTGCCCCGTCCAAAACCAACTCATAACTTTGCGCCAACAATCGACACAGACGCCACAACTGTTCTTTCAGGCTGTCCACGGTGTCCTTCTCATTGACCCAAAGCCTCACCACGCGTCGACACGGTAGAGTAACTCTGAGATATATGTCCTTTGAAAGGTCCAAAGGAAGGCAGAGGAATATAGTAGAATCACTCTTAATGCCGTAGTCCTTCAGCTGGTGCGAATCCTCAAGAATTAGTCCATCAAATGTCAGCGTTTGTTTCTCCACTGGGATTCGTTTTGTGCCCTCCACTTGATGCCCTTGACTGATTCTGAATCCAACACACGCAGTCTGAAGTCGCCAGCGCGCTCGCATCGGATGTGCAGCGTCCATGGCATTTTTCCTGTGAATGAACTGTGTGGAGTCTTCGCCGGTGATGCTCAATGAAAACGACCAATTGGAGCCCGTGTCTGTCCTCACCTCGAGCAGACTGATGCCTCTGCCAATTTTGCCGTGAACATTTGATCTTCAGCTGAATGTTTTCATTGGTGCGTGGCAGAGCTTTGATGTCTGCTCGCAGCAGCGTTTCGCCTGCGTAAACACTATACCTGAAATGTGTGCTGTTATCCGAGGGTAAGAGGCTGAGGCTGAGATTTAATATGAATATTTGGGCCGAAATCCATCAGCCACAGTGAAGTAATCGTGTAATCCTCCTAAATTGCCAACTGGCAGTCATTAGTTTATGCAAATGTTGCGCGATGCACCATACTTGGGTACACAGACACTAGCTAAGACGGGTTTCGCCGACATTCTGACACTGGATGACACAGCTGCGAAAGGCTTCGGTTCATCAGTGCGTACCGCAGTGTTCACAAACTGCCAACATCCAGTTTATGACAATCACAACGATATTTCACTGTGTCTGATGGACTTCTGCCGACATATCTATATAACATTTTAGTCTGAGCATGTACAGTGAGTGGCCGATCTCATAAAATGTTAGCCAAGATCCTGAAATGCCTTTTCGTCAAGGAAGGATTACTTAGATGTGGCTGTAGAATTGATTATCATGCGGCATAATCCCATAGTATTTTGGACTCGCCAGGACGTCGAATTTTGAATACACTTCTTTTCGACCTCCCACGGACACCGCACTCGGTAAAAAGGACTACTTAAGCAGCAGGCATTTTCCACATTGATTTTCGATGGACTTTTAAGGTCAGTTATATTTCATAGGACACATGCACAAAAATATGCTTTATCTCACTCGTTTGGTAGGAAATCACGTTGATTTCACCTTTATACCCTGAGAGAGGTTATATTTCAATTTTAAAAAAGTTTCTAATTGTGAACTTTTTTAAAACCATGCGATGTCCATTCATACAGCATCGTAGCTGTCGTTTGTCAGTGCTCCTCATGAAATGTACAACATAGTCCCCATCGATTGCGAAATTTTATGAACTCTATATGGTGTCTTCTTAAAATCATAGAGGCATATATGATTTTATTTAGGCGGAAAGCATGCACCTTGACGACTGAAATCGCTAACTGCTAATGCAACGGCTGATCAGGCTAAAAATTACTCGGGAATTGGGAAATTTTTCAAAACGTGAATATACCCTTTCTTCGGATATAAAATGTAAAGACAGCGTGATTCTCTATCAAGCAAGTAAAAGAAGGCATATTTTGTGCATGTTTTCTTCAAAATATATTTTGATTTATAAAACCATCGAAAGTCAATGCAAAAAATGCCTACCACATAAGTAGTCATTTTTTATCGAATGCGGTTTCTACAGGGGGTCGAAAGGGAGTGCATTCAAAAGCCGACATCCTGATGACTCCGGAACATAAGAATAAGCCGCATGCTAATCAATATTACAACCCCACCTAAGAAATCCTTCCTAAACGAAAGCGCACTTTAGAATTTCGGTCAACGTTTCATGATATCCTTCACTCACTTTTTATCTAGGGAAAAGGGCTCTAGCCTATCTTTCAATTCAGCCAACGTCAGCTCCTGGACGGATTGTTTTCAGCAAGCGCCATTGCACCAGCTGCGGCAACTGAACTTTTTGATTTGTCAGTCAAATGTCGGACAACCGCGGCTGATAACTCCACCCGGTTGCATGCGCATGCGCCGAAGCCGCTACGACCAGTAGCTCGGTATGAGAAAAAAATAAACCGTGGTCGTGCTCGCGCACCGCGTAAACCGTGAGACTCTCCAGGCCACACACCCTCCACACTCCGGAATGAGTGTCTCACGCACCTGGTGCAAGCAGGCCCCTTGATTATGTGTGCCCTGGATAACAACCCACCGTCTTGCGCACATCAATTGGCCATCGAGGGACTACGGTCCTCCCTAGCCGATAAACAATGTGTGAACGAGGGGCGTTCCACTTGGCACTCTTGCACTCGGAAGTAACACACGCAGTACTGATCATGGCGCCAGTAGTTCGTATGCTTTTGTAGATTCTAGCATTCTCACTGACGTGGTCGCATTAGTATTGATTGCCTCATCTAGATGCTGGATTCGATGATGCTCTTCCTCATCCATGTCACGGGCACAGACGTACTGGGACGGACAGCGTCTGCGCCATGCTGGGACAGCTGCAACTGCGTTGGCGCGGCCACATCGTGCCGGTGGACCACGAACGGCCACCCAAACGACTCTACAGATATTCGTTAACATGGAGGCCAAATCCGGCGTTACAAGGACACTCTGAGGACTTCCTTGAAGCACCTGCAGATCAGCCCGGCCAACTGGGAAGACCCCGTCCGGAATCAAACGATCTAGGGCAGGACGGTGAAGACAGGCATAGCGATCTACGAAGCCCACCGCATAACCGGCGTCAAAGCCGAACGCGAAGCTCGAAAATCCCAACTGTCCTGCCTCACAACACTAACGTTCAACCTCCCCAACATAAAGTAGGTAGACTAACCCATGAAATGTCAGCCGAAATTCCGAAATGGGTTTTCGTTTCGAAAAAATTAAGTAAGTTGGGTTGTACAACTAATCACTTTGCAACATAATTCTATAACAGTTCAGTTATCTTATGATGCCGGCTTTCGAACGAACTTATTTCTGGCCGAATGTGAAAACTATGCCCTGTAGAAAATGACTACATAAGTAGCAGGCATTTTTCTCATTTATTTTCGATGCCCCTTAACGTTCAATTATATTTCCTAAAAGGCATGCATAGAAATATTTATTCTTTCACTGGTTCGATAGAAAATTACGTCTTCTTCTAATTCTATACTCGAAGGAAGGGTATTACTCGGTTTTAAGAAAGTTCTAATTGTGAGATTTTTTAATATTGTCAAATGGCCGTTCATAAAACGTCATATCACTGCATTTACCAATGTGGTTTGTAAAGTTAACAGTATGGCTCAAATCTACTGTTAAATTTTATGAGCCCCATATGTTCTTCCCTCGATACCATAAAGAAATGTGTGGTTTTCCGTACGCGAAATATATACGGCTTGTAGTTTAGAAACCCTGAATGCAAGTGTAACGGCAGATCGGGTTCAAAATTATTCGGGCATTAGAAGTTTTGAAAACAGAATTATACCCTTCCCTCGAGTATAAAATTCGAAGAGGACGTGATTTTCAACCAAATGAAGCTCGAAAATCCCAACTGTCCTGCCTCACAACACTAACGTTCAACCGCCCCAACATACAGTAGGTGGACTAACTCATGAAATGTCAACCGAAATTCCGAAATGCGTTTTCGTTTCGAAAAAATTAAGTAAGTTGGGCTGTAAAACTAATCATCTTGCAACATAATTCTATAATAGTTCAGTTACCTCAGGATGCCGGCTTTTGAGCGAACTTCTTTTCGGCTGCATGCAAAAACTATACTCCGTAAAAAATGACTACTCGTGAGGCATGTATTTTTTAAAATGATTTTCGATACTCTTAAAATTTAATTATATTTCATTGAAAACATGCAGAAAAATATTCGATCTCTTGCTCATTCGGTAGAAAATTACGTCTTTTTCTGGTTTTATACTTGAAAAAAGGGCATAATTTGGTTTTAAAAAAGTTTTCAATTATGAGATATTTTATTATTGTGAAATGGTCGCTCGTAAAACGTCATGCCTTTGCATCTAGCAATGTGGTTTGTAAAGTTTACAATATGGCTCAAATCCACTGCTAAATTTAATGAGCCCCAAATGGTCACCCCTCAGTGCCGTAGAGAAATGGCTTGTAGTTTGCAAACCCTGAATCCACGTGTGACGGCAGAGCGGGTTGAAAATTATTCGGGAATTGGAAGAGTTTTGAAAACCGAACTATACCCTTCCCTCGAGTATAAAATTGGAAGAGGACATGACTTTCAACCAAATGAGCAGAAGACTGAGTATTTCTATGCAAGTTTTCCGTGAAATATAATTGAATACTTAAGGGCGTCGAAAATCAGTGTGAAAAATAGATGCTTCTTAAGTAGTCATCTTTTGCGGAGTATAGTTTTTGCATGCATCCGAAAAGAAGTTCGTTAGAAATCCGGCATCCTGATGTTACTGAATTTTTCTAGAATCATGCCGCATGATAATTAGTTTTACAACCCTACTTAAGTAATATTTTCGAAACGAAGACGAATTTCGTAATTTTGGTTGACATTTCATGAGTTAGCCCTCCTACTGTACCTACGGGTAAAAACCGGTCCCGCAGGACACCCTCGGACCCAATGCGCCAACAACCCGACAACGTCAAATTCTTCTCCCTGCCTGTCGCAAACCCTGCGACGACGACGATGACAACGACCATCCCCGTCACCGACGGTCACACAGTCGCCTCCCAGCCGCCATCAATCACCGGCCTCATCCGTCCTCGCCCAACCCTCGCGTTCACCACAGCAACCAGCTCCACCAACACCACGACATCACGCGCTCCCCCACCGATGGGGCAACGTCCGACGTCCCATCACCTGCCACCACTACTACCAGCACCCCCACATCCAGCGATGTAGACTCGGTCCACGCCTGACCTCACTGAGATCGCACATTCACCTCACACACACACACTAACCTGCTCGGTTATTTTCGAATCGATCGCACAGAGAATGGTGAACCAGTACCTGGAGCACCCACATACACTTGCTGCATCCGCCTCCACTATCCACGCTGCCCTCGCACATTCAGACAGTGCATGGGCCTACTACGTCATATGCGCATTCATGAAAACAAGGCCACATCACGTCAACACACATTCCCCCATCTGCACCTGCACCACACATCAACATCACCCATCGCCACCTTTCACCTAAGTGGGAAGTGCGCTTCTCGACGCATTCTCCATGTGGCTACTCCGCTGCATGTGTGACCCGAGTCTGAGACTCTCCCGGTGCGTCAAGCGCCATGGCTTGAAAGGCTGCCGACTGACGTCTCAACTCAATCCACACACACAGCCAGCACAGTTGTGTGTATTTGTGTGGAGTGGTGGACTGGTAGGCTGAGAGCCAGGCTGTTACAGCTCCTTCCTAATGTGACATCGGGTTCTCTCACACATGCGAGGAGTGTGTGTGTGTGTGTGTGTGTGTGTTTACGGGTACTACATCCCAGACAATGACTGGTTGGGCACCTGTCCTTTGGAGGGTGATGGACCAGGCTAAATGCAGAGTTCAGTGTCACCAATCTGGGCCTTAAAGTTTGGTTGCGTCTGCTATCCCATGATTTAGCCGACCATGATCCTCGCAACCTGGTGTGTGCTTGCAGTTCTCTGAAACCTTGTTCCACGCCGGTATTTGCGCTCTCGTCGGGTATACAGGTCTTGTACCCTATCATCCTCCTCTTCCTGACCCGTTTATTTCTATTGATGGTTAAAGTCCTGGTCAAGTCCTAGAGTGAAATTCTCAGCATCCACGCCATGCTGAGACTAATGCAACTAGGATGGACGATGAGCGCCTACCAAAGCAACTCTTCTACAGGGATGTCACCAATGGTACTATTCGACGGGGGGGGTCCGACCTACCGCTACTACGAGGACGCTGAAGAATTCCCTGAAGCACCTGCACGCCGACCCGACGATTTTGCAAAGCCCTCGCACACAACAGACCGACTTAGAAAACAACAATGGAGACTGGGGTAACAATCTGTGAAGCCAACCGACTCGTCGCCACCAAGGCCGAAAGGATAGCTCGCAAATTCAGGCGTCCGTAACGCCAAACTCCAACCTCTCCCAACATACTCTCGCTGTCAGCAAACGTTTCTCACGCGCGGATTGGCCTCCTCAGGTATACCGGTATCAGTTGGGTTGGCCGGCTCGGACACTGGACTGGTGTGTGGGATAGGGTGGCGTGAGTGGGTAAGGTCGACAGTCCCAGCGCATAGTTCCTAACCATAAACAATCTGAGGCGTTGGAGACTTACACGGTGTGCTAAATATCGTGACTTGGCAAGCCGACCATGACCCTCGCAACCTGGTTGTGCTTGCATGGTTGCCCAATCATCCTCGTCGTCTTCTGACCCGCTGTTGTGTTGTTGCTGATTGAAATCCTGATCTGCTGTTTGTTGTGGACCGGGACTTGTGGTGGCACGCCTAGGTGCGGATCCGGCCGCACTATCCACCTGCGCCCTCTCCCCCCCCCCCGCCGCCGGTCTTCTTGACTAGGTCTTGACACATGCCCCAAATGCGAAGGAAGAGCGAGTGCGGTAGATGCTGCACAAGCCCACCGTCGCTATAAACTAATTCATGCGCAAATCGCCATGCCTTCTTCACCTTACCGTGGGCCACATCGGGTGGACACAGCAGAGGGAGAGAGTGACAACAGGACGGGCGTCGGAAGTTTCCAGCCACAAGTGGCCGAACGGTTGCTACGTCTAGAATCTCGTCCTCATTCACAGGTCTTTAGGGACATGTGGAGTCTTTTCCCTCCCCCCTACTCCATACCTCAGAAAATGTTCCGATGCACAAATCTGAAAGTCAGTACTCGCCTGTTCCTTGTTGTTCAGCTGGTTGTAGGTCCCTACCAGCGGAAGCGATCGACCAATCAGACTCTGCAGTGAGGGCACTTTCGAGGGCCGGACGGGTCGATCAGTCGGTAGGTGGCCGGGCTCCACTGAGGCCCGACCCTCGGTCTCGGCACACTGGCGTTGCCAGGCCTCCGCTCGCTGCTCCCGACTCGGACCGAAATTGGGCAGGGGAGCAGTCCGGAAGGCGTCTGCTGCCTTGAGGCCCTTTCCTGCCTGGTGCTTCGGCGTCGGTGGACTCTGAAATTCCCAGTTGCCTGTGGTGCGGGGAGGTGTGGAGAGAAAGGAACGGAAAATAAGGGAACGCCCAATCACAGACTAAGTAATAAGTCTCGAAAGTGTTTCTTTTTTTCGAATAGTCCATAAAGGGATAAGGGCCAAGAGCTGAGAAGGATAGCCTTAATTAACACCAGTTCTTCCGAGGAAGATAAGATCTCGAGGGAAGGAGAATTTCTCGTATTGACCCAACTGTGAAAAACTCGGCGCCTCAGTGGGATTCGAACCCACGCAGTAAGGGGAAGGCTTTAGTACAGCCAACGGTCTAGCCACTTGAGCTACGAGGCCCCGCTGGACGACGCGAGTTGAATCAAATTATTCAAAATCTGCCAAAACATTTATGAATTACGCGAGCCTGGTAGTCATCTGGTGGATTCTAGGTGAATTACTTAGGAAATCCCTTTTGGGCAGTCAACTTACTGTATCAAATTTGGTGGATTCCAGACGTTGCAGTAAGTTGGGCGGGTAACTTGACCCAAATGTGAGTAAACTCGCGTCGTCCGGTGGAGCCTCGTAGCTCAAGTGGTTAGAGCGTTGGCTGCACTAAAGCCTTCCCTTTAGTGCGTGGGTTCGAATCCCACCGAGGCGCCGAGTTTTTCGCAGTTAAGTCAATATGAATTATTTAAAATCTGCTAAAGCATCTATGAAAGAGAATCGTTTAAATAAGTGGCTCCGCTATCTAGTTAACACCTGCATTCGCCAAGCGCACCCCCAAGGTCATTCTTACATTTCCTATCCGTGCTCTATTGGACATGGGAATCGGAAACCCAGCAATACAAGTAGTCTCGCGTTAAATTCCAGGGGGCTACCTATTTTTACGTCACGACTTCAACCGTAGCCCTGCTCCTGACCCCTGTGGTATTTTTCTCAAGGCTACCTATTATTATCAGGGACCCATATTCTCCTACCCAACTCCAATGCAAGCATTATGGTGGATTAAACTGAGTCCGTCTTTGTGTCCGAACCCCAAATCTCAACCCCTCTGTAAATCGATGACGGAAATCGGTCGACTTACAAATACAGTAGATGTGCGAACTCGTGAAATGTTAACTGAAATCCTGAAATGCGTTTTCGACACAAAAAGGCTGTAGTACTAATTAGGATACAGCACAATCCCATGATATTTTGGCTACTTCAGGATGTCGACTTTTGAGTGGATTTCTTTCTGGCCGCCTGCAAAAACTAAACTTTGTAAAAAATGGCAATTTAAGTAACGTGAATTGTTTTCATTTATTTTTGGTGCCCCTAAAAATTCGAATATAATTCATAGAAGACATGGACAAGACATACATTATTTGCGCATTTGGAAGGGAATAACGTCTTCTTCAAATTTTATACTTGAAGAAAGGCCATAATTCGGTTTTAGAAAAGTTTCTAATCATGAGATCTTTTAAGACCATGAAATGCCCGTTCATAAAACATCGTATCTCTGAATTTTCTAATGCTGCTTGTAAAGTTTACAATGTGGCTCAAATCCACTGCTACATTTTTTGAACCCCACGTGGGCTTCTCTTAGAAGAGCATAGAAAATTTATGATTTTCCGCACACGGAAAATGCACAGCTGGACAAAACAATAAATATTTTTATGCAGGTTTTCTATGAAGTATAGTTGAATTTACAGGTGCATCGAAAATCAATGAGAAAGATTCATGCTACTTAGGTAGTCATTTTTTACAGAGTGTAGTTTTCGCAGGCGACCAAAAAATCAGTTTCTTCAAAAGCCTGCATCCCGAAGTAAGTGAAGTATCTTAGAATTATATTGCATGGTAATTAATATTGCAACCCTACGTATATATGTATATATATATATATCAGCGAGGAGGGACGACAGAGAATGCGGGTAGATTGATACAGCACTGTTTCGGGCTTATTCTGCCTTCATTCAGCCAATCATAACCCTGACCACCAGCAGCTGAGACCAGAAACACAAACATGCGCACAGACGCACCTGGCGCAGTCGGTCCACCACTGAGGCCTACCAGATGGGTCATAAGCACTTCATCGAACCGAAGTTCGACTTCGGCCTGGTAATTGGTTGCCTGTTCGTGACCTTTGCCACACATACGGAGCTTGTTTGCTTTGTGAAGCCAATAGATCGGTGTGCGCCCATTCCTGATTGATAAATACCCGATCTGCAGCGACAGAGAATGACAGGTGGCGAGGCACTGATGAACTTCGGTTCGATGAAGTGCTTATGACCCATCTGGTAGGTCTCAGTGGTGGACCGACTGCGCCAGGTGCGTCTGTGCGCATGTTTGTGTTTCTGGTCTCAGCTGCTGGTGGTCAGGGTTATGATTGGCTGAATGAAGGCAGAATAAGCCCGAAACAGTGCTGTATCAATCTACCCGCATTCTCTGTCGTCCCTCCTCGCTGCTATTATGACTTGGCCGACTTCGGCCTGGTAATTGGTTGCCTGTTCGTGACCTTTGCCACACATACGGAGCTTGTTTGCTTTGTGAAGCCAATAGATCGGTGTGCGCCCATTCCTGATTGATATACATATATATATATATATATATATATATATATTCGCCTTTGGTCGAAGTAGTTGAGCAAGCATATGTTCGTGTGGTTGGCCAACCAGAGATCACTGTGTTCCTTTCTAATAAAAAAATGTAATTCCCTTGACTCGGCTTGATTTACATGACAGATTGCGGAAGACGCTAGTTTCCGTTTTGTCGAAAGGTGAAATTCAGTTAATCGAGCTTCTTGACAACTCAGTTCGACCGTTATTTTTGGAGAATCTGGTTAAGCGGAAACGTTCCTCGCTTACGTGCGTTGAGGAACGTCAAAATCAGGGACGACATTTTTAAGAGGTTTGCCCGCGTCACAGATGCCTGGCGCATATGGTGGGAAGCAGGTCGTGTGTGGCACGCGTAAAAGGCCGTTTAGGTTTGTCAATCACTGCGCCCGAGTCTACCTTCGGTCGTCTGGGCATCGCTTCACCAAGACTGGTGCAGGGCGGGCGAGTGCGGTAGATGCTGCGCAAGTCGTTGGTGTTTGGCCCACTTCGTGGACCTTACGACGGGCTTCACCACTTGCGGCAGTCAAGCCGCTGTGGGCAACAATTCCAGACTGAAACCCTGGATGATTTGGAGAGTAACTTAGACCCTCCCAAACGTCTGGGTCCAATTTGGACCGATAAGTTGAAGTGCGCTTCACTCACTCTCAAACTGTCGAATGGGGTGAGCTGTTTAGAGTGTGACGTGGTGAATAAGTATAACAGTAACATAACGGTGGTAGTAAATTACCACAACCTACCGTCTGTGCCTTCCAGGTAGAGAGCCGCCTTCAGACCTGTCACCATTTCATCAATTATGGAGAAGTCCTGATTTTGGACGGCACTGCAGACCTAAAAATTGCAAGATTTATAATCAGTTTTGGGAAGTTAAGTCAAGGACGGCATCTCCGCATAACTTCAAACCCAGCGAATAGCGTGGTATTCGTGAACTTTGAGTCTGTCGACTTTTATCGCTGGTCATGCGTTAGGCACAGCCGTTTGGGATAAGCTTCAAACGCACAGTGGAAAGCCGTGCCACACAGCAAGGTGGCTGACGGTGATCTTTTGTCCCACTATTTTCAGTTGGTCGCAAACTGGCATCGCGACTATTCCTCTGTGTGAAGTAACGTAGGTAGAAAGGTCTGTGAGCGTGCGCTATGCCAGTAGCATCAAACCATGACCCTCGAAGTCCGGTATGCGCTAGCAGTCCCCTGACACCTGGTGCCCTGCCGGTAGATGCGCTTGTACTCCCGCTAGGTAGACAGGTGATGGGCATGGCTGCCCAGTCATCCTGTTGGGGGGTTGTTGTTGTTGTTAGTGAAAAACCCTGGTCAAGTGTACGCTGCGGACCAGGGGGGTGTGATGGCACGCCTAGGCGCGTCTTCGGCCGCGCCCGCCGCCTGCGTCTCGCCCCACCTCCGGTCTTCTTGACTCTATCTTGACACCGGGTCCAGGTGGGGAATGGGAAGGAGAGAGTACGGTAGATGCTGTGGTAGTCTACTATCACTTCACACTGAGTCACGCATAAGTCACCGTCCCTGCTCCGCCTTGCTGTGGAGCACACTATGGACATCATCAGCAACGACGGTCAGACGGTCGTGTGAGGTAACGTGAACACACACAGCAGTGCATAGCTAGAATACAGTCGTCTGTAGTCAAATTCAAAGTGCTGAATCCCTTCATTTTGTGAGGTGGAATTTTATGTCTCTCCCTTTCTAGACAGCCGCAAACTCATGTGTTGATGCCAGTACTGTGGTCATCTCAAATTCGGTTGTCTACGCTCCTAGAGTGGAATTGGCGACACCCCGGACAACCGGATTAGGGTTAGGAGTTAGGTTTAGAGTTAGGGGTTAGTGTTAGGCCCACTATTACCACCGGTTCCGTATGCCAAGCAACTGAGGCTTGTCTACTGCAGCTGAGGCCGCGAAATAAGATCCGACCCTTTATCTCTCTCTCTTTCTCTCTCTAGCCAGCCGCAGACTTATATGTTGATGCAACACCCCAGACACTGGCGTCGGAGGAAGAGAACGTTTGAGATGATATGACTATCGTGTGAGCTGGTGGCGTTGGCCCAACTGTAATGCACCAACCCGAACCGCCTAAGGGTTTGCTTGAATTGCCGGGGATTTTGACCTTGAATCTGGTCCCGGCTGGGGCTCGAATGACCATTTATCAGTGTGGATGGCCGATGCTGCTTATGGCTACATCTCGACCGGATAACGGTGGGGCGTAGGACCCCACGTAGCCAGAAAACCCGACATGTGGACTAAAATTCCGTGTGGCTGAAAGCATTACTTATTACCCAGCGTCCCTAATGTGTTAAATTTCCTGGGCTTCCCGGTTGAATGCAAACTTGCCAGAAGCGGTTTATTCAAAATCCGTTATTTTTTAAAAACTGCTTTTTGTCTATTTTTTGAATTATCGCGCCCACTTTGTTTGCCATATGACAACATACCATGAAACTTCCGGCAAAAAATTGTTTATTTTCTGCGTCTTCTTGCATTCCGCCAACTCCTCGTCCCGCATATTGCCCCACCCGTAAAACCCTCCCTAACACCATTCAACGTATGACACGGTCCACAGGCTACCTCAAGTTAGTTGGGGTCCTATACCCTACGGTTGAGCTTAAAAGTCAGTTCTACAGTCGACTACCCCCCTCCCCTCGCGTAGATGCCAACAGCGTTAAGTCCCCCACCGTTCCGTCCCACCTACATGTAGAAATATCATCCCTCAAACTGACCTTCCCCGCATTCGTACCACTCTTCCACACTGACACCAGTAGCTTTTCTGGAAGACCCAAATAATCATATCTTGTCCTATTTACATTGCATTGGTACTTAAGTAAAAAACAAGCCTATGTAGTATGTGTTAGGACAAAAGAGCGATTCGAGGCCTCTCACACAGTTGAGCGTCTCGACCGTTGCATAACGACCACCGATGAAAATGGTGATTTTTCCTGGAGTCGAGAGGCGATTAACTATCTATCTTGACCCGCTGCATACGCGACCCTGATAGACTGATAATGCTGCCAATTAATTGGTGTTTTGGCAAATTTAAACAATTCATCTGACCAAAAAAATCGGCGGCTCCTAGGAGACCTCGTGGTACGGGTGGCCGCGCTCAACCCTTTCCCTTGCTATCGTGGGTTCGAGTCCCACCGAGGCAGCTCAGTTATTCACAACTGAGTCAGATGAATATCGCCAATCATTGGTGTTAGCCGCCTGGTGTCACGTCTGCGGCAACTAACCTGCTGTCTACGTCGGTCATTTGATGTAGGATTTTAGATTTGATGCATATTCCTATCTCAGCTTCACATCGCAATAATTGTTCCCGTGCTAGTTCCCATCAATCTCCAGACATTCGTCAATTGCGCCATTAGGACCCTTCGAGTAAAAAATGGAAATTAAAGATGCCTTAAGGGGGACTCACCTGTAGTCCACTCGCGCCGGCCTGCAGGAACTGATAACCAGCGTCGGCGGAGTCGATACCTCCAGTCGCCAGGATGGGAAAGCCCGGAAGCGCATTTGCCACCGCGCTCACAGCCCTCAACGCCAGTGGTCTGACCAGATTGCCCGACAGACCGCCGTATGTTCCTCTACCTTCCTTCCCCACACGTGGCCAGGGTGTGGAGTCGCTGTGGAACTTCATTATACCGGAGACGGTGTTGATCACTGTTACACCGTCGGCTCCGCCCTCCTGCGCTGCTCGAGCTATGTCAACTATGTTTGTTACATTGGGCGTCAACTTGGCGAAGACTGGGGTCCCCGGGCCTGCAACAGCCTTCACCCACTTGCAAATATTTCTAACGAGATCAGGATTCTGTCCACAAGCCATGCCCATCCCACGTTCGCCCATGCCATGAGGACAGGACAGATTTAATTCCAGCGCATCTGGCTTGGCCTTCACAGCCATTTCCGCCAGACAGGTCCAGTCGTTCTCATCGAACTTGGCCATTATGCTGGCGATCAAAATATTCCCAGGGAAGTCCCGTTTCAGTTCCACAATACTCCGGCACCAGTAGGCGGCTGTCTTCTCACTGATTAGCTCGATGTTACAGAAACCGGACTGTTCAGGTCCGAACATGTGTCCACCAGTTGGTCCACGGACTATTCGCGGGGACACATTGGTCACCAGGTCCTTGTCAAGACCAAATGTCTTGGTAACCGCAAAACCCCAGCCCGCCTCAAACGCTCGTCGGATCATGGCACTGCTGGTCGTAGGTGGCGCCGATGCCAGTCCGAAGGGATTGGGAAACTTGAGACCGCAGATTGAGACGGAGGTATCCACTAGATCCACGGGCGTCGTGAATCGGGGCAGTACTTTCTCCTTGAAGGCAGATTTACCTCCAGTTAACGCATTATGGATGCTCCAGGCTGCAGTCTTGCCATCATTCGTGGCCTCAACAGAGGTGTGTGAGAAGCCCGTCAGGTCACCGCCACACCACACATCCGATTCACTGGTCCTCAACGTCTCCAAATCCACCACTGGAACACCCGACGAGAAGCCCTTAGATGTCAGCTTCAACGGTTTCATGGCTTCCATGACGTGGGCATCCGTCAGCCCGGCCCCATAGGCCGTGATGACGTAGTCCACTTTGATCTTGACTAGCTGATCTGGATCTGACGTCCAACTGCCGTCATCATTCTGCTCTCGACGAATGAACTCCACGCCAACGATGCGTGGCTTTTTGCCTTGGGAGGAAGAAGCTTCATCCAGCAAGACGCGCTTGGGTTCGAGGAAGGGCAGAAATTCACACTTCTCCTGCCAGGCCAATTCAAACTCTTCCGGCACGGGGTTGATGGTGGTGAAGCCCTTACGGAAGGAGACAGTTACGCGTTGAGCACCGCATCGAAGAGCAGAGGTGGCGCAGTCGAAGGCTGTATCACCTGCTCCCAGAACGAGTACTCTTGCACCCGATAAATCCGGCAGTTTAGACTTGGCACAGGTGGATTTGGTGCAGTTCTTGGTGGCTGCACAGACCCTTGGAAGGAAGTCCTTGGAAGTGAGGTATCCGTTTTCTGGGGTGAGACCAGCGAAGACAGATGTTGAGTGGGCATTGGGAAATCCCAGTCCCAAGAAGATGGCCTTGTAGCCTTGGTCACGTAGTTTCTTGATCGTGACTGCATTGGTGTGGTTCTCTGTGGTGAAGGGATGATCAGTGAACACCTTCACTCCGAGATCCTTCATCATTTGGAGTTCAAAGTTGACAGCAGATCCTGGTAGTCGAAACTGGGGGATTTCTGTGGCGCTCAATCCACCCTCCTTTGTAGACTTTTCGAAAATATGCACGTTTCGGTAGCCGAGACGCGCCAGGTAGTTGGCGCATGAAATGCATGCGGGGCCACAGCCGACGAGTGCAATTTTCTGGTCATAGTTTGGATCGTCTTTGGTCTGAGCTGCGATCTTCGGATCAAGGATCTGCAAGAAAAATTACTTTCGGTTGTAGTCGGTTTCGGTCGTAAAATTTGTGAGTCAACTCTCATTTAGCTCTTTCGATGTCTTTCTTTCATCAAGAAAAACAGGAACTAAAGGTTAGTTTGTCCTTTAGGATGACCTAATTTCTGACATGCCTAAACTGACAAAAAGTGATTAATCATTCGAAACCCAATCCAACTCTCCCAACCAAAACACCCAATTAATAATCAATGACCTTTAGTTAAGTGAAAACATCAAATATGCATTTGAAGAACCCTTCTTCGGTTAGAAATAACATATTTTTCAAGAAATGCTGAGATGTCGAGAACGCGAAAATTCATGTTGAATGGGAAAACTCAAGATCCATTCAAACAATTGAGTAAGTATAACAATATAGGCATAGTACGGTTTGAAAATACCTGCTTTACATAAATTTGAAGTAAATATCTCCCAAGAATGTGTTACGTAAAGCATGGCACATAAGAAATTGTGTAATGTTTGATTATAGGTTCCGAAACTGTTCCATGAATAATAAGTTTGAATCTTATTAACAGGTGTGGCTGCCCTCACGTACAAATGCACAAGGTAATTGACAATTTTCTCGACCTATGGTCGAGGTTATCCCAAAATTTGTAACTTGGTCGGCGCAGGCCGTTCAAACTATTTGTTGCTGTTTATGATGTGCGCACGTATTCACATTAGAGAAGGGAGAGCTAGCTGGTTGGAAGATATGTCTGGGGCTCATAAACATCATGCTCCGATGATCGAACCTTTGCCATAATCAGAATTATTATCTGAAGTTGGGCTCTGTGCATATCACTGTTATCATTGCCTAAGCATAGAGTTGATTGAGGTTCGCACATTCGTGTGCGGTGGCCTTTCCGCAAAGACGGTCGATCCTGACGGCTGTATACGCTTTTCACCTAAAAACGGAATTGTCGCCGTGTTTGTCGATACTGCAGCCTAACTTAAGCGGTGTTTTCGATTTGCAAGTCCACTAGCGGATTTCGATTAATGATTCATGAGTTGCTACTCACACTAGGAGATTATGCCGCTGCAGCTGTTGCTGCTGCCGCTGGTGGTGGTGGTGGTGGTGGTGGTGGTGGTCGTCGTCGTCGTCGTCGTCGTCGTCGTCGTCGTCGTCGTCGTCGTCGTCGTCGAGGTGGGGGGGTCGGGGTCGAACTCGCGTCATATCAGCGACGGTGTTGGTGGACGTGGTGATGGTTGATGACTGAGCGTTTTACTTAGCTAAGAACGTGACGACAAGCTGTGCTTAACCATCATCATTATTAAAACGTGCATTAGGAAAGAAACTAGCCTACATCAGATGAGATACTAACCTGTGGAATGTTCATTCGAGCAAAGGTCTCCACTGCAAACTGTTGTAAGCCGCCAATGTTGATGGCACCCTCCTCCGTGGCTGTGAGGTTGCAGCCACCGGCGCAGAGGTCACTGGTTGGACAGACCATGCCACAAGTCAGACCCACCGGATTGTCCGATAGGATAGCCTTCGCGGCACCATAGTAATTGCGCTTGCTAATGTCGTGGATGAAGGTCTTTATGTCCAGTTGAGTGGGACAGCTGTGCTGGCAGGGTGCGTCGGCACAGCGTAGACAGCGGGACGCTTCACGCAGGGCACCGCGCTCTGACAGCGTGGTGTGTTTAATGTCCGAAAAGTCAAATCTCAGGGAGGGGATGGTAGAGCTGTCCTTGTCCGCATTTCGTTTCCACATCTTTCGCTCCTGGGAAGCAAGAAAGGGAGACAATGTGTATGTATTAGCACCTGCTGTGTTGTGGCGCGCAGAAGAAACCACGTCTGGTCCACACGCATCGGCTTGCCGTCCCTCTTCGTTATCGTTGGTGACTTTCCTCGCGCTAGGCTCCATCACCACCATAACCTTCATGTGCCTCCGAAGTAAGCTGCTTCTATGCGTCGTCGTAGTGAGTGGCGGTCGATCTCGCACTCCACATTTTGGTGACCCCGACGTGGCACTAGCAAGCGACATTCTACTGTGATGTCAAAAGACGAGTCAGCACGACAGTTGAGCCTACCTAAAGGAGCGACGAAAGCATGCCTACGATCAGAGTAGACTGAAATAACCCTGAGGTGTTGCCGACGGTTATGTGCTGTCCTCCGTGCATTCCAGTCCACGACTTACTGATCAGAATAAGGCGGGATCGGCTACTTGGAAACATCCGAAATATGTCTTTGTCCATAGAGAGGAAGGTGGAGGATGAATCCCGGATCTTGTCTGCCACTGACAGAAAGCGAGATATCACTCTAAAGATTGGACCAGCAATATACCCCCATTTTCCAGAATTCCGACCCTTCACCTTTGGCGACCAAAGAAAACTGTGAAGGCGTGCAAAACATGCAAAATTTGTAAAGGAAATCAAATTTGCCCCAAAGATTGGCAAATCAAGGCAGCGCCCAGATCCGGCATGCAATTCTTTAAACTGATTCCTCTTTGAGTGGTGCGGTTGCCCAAATGGCAATGAAAGGTTACAGTTCGTTACTACTTTTGGTATTCGTTTGTCATAATTCAACACATACAAATAAAAAATGTAAATCATCTCGATCGAGGTCTAGAATGAGTGAAAAAATGTATTTTGAGAAAATCTGATTGTTGATGATGTCAAAATATTTCCAGAGGAGTATTCAAATGCTTTTTGGAGTTTCCAAGTCTGCATATAGGAAGTTATAGTCAGTTGAGGACATCACTACGAAAACCCGCATTGTCTATGAAACTCAAGGTTCCTGGCGCATAAAAAAAAGGACATTTTTGTGCAATCTAAAGGGCCACTTACTATCCTAAAAAGTTTTGCATTAGTGTAAATTAAACGGATCCAATCCTTCAACTACAGGATACCTCCGGACACTTACACTCTCGAAGGTTTTTAGTGCCAAACAGAACTGGAAATTTGGTTCTGTGTCAGCGGAATGTCTGCATTCCACAAAGTGCTTCGTAAAATCAGTAGGGGAAGGAACGTATCTGCGGACGTTAAGCATGTGTCCAATTACCATGACTGGTAGTTTTCTATGCGCTCCTTCGATTTACAACAAGAACCTGACTGTTCTTATCTAGAAAATTAGTCATTTTATTTTCGTGTGAGAATAGCCATCGTGTAATCGTGCAAGTTCAAACCCCGAACTTCCTTTACTGTTGGTAATTTGGAAACTTCGAAACAAAGAGTTTAATAATTAAATATGAATATTTCCGTTCAAAAAATGGCCGCAAAAATGTAGTGAATGCCTGAAATGCGGTCTTCAGGAAAGAACCCGGGTTATCGTATTATCTGCTCCTGTCCAAATCCTTCCGTCAGTCTAATAATTGGTTTTCTCCCCGAGGTTTTGCTTAACTTAAGTTTTGATTAAATGCTACATCCTGCGTGGGAGTTGGTGTCTAACCTGCTAATTCTTGCTTGCAACCCCTATTACTCAGCTGCGCCAATCAAGCAGTGCAAAGAGTAACCTGCGCTATCAGTAGCTTTGCCTTGTTGGTTTTCTTGGGACAGCCTTTCCCTAAAAATATGCTTTTGCATTTCCACCTACCTCTGAGCGTCTCCAGGTACATCATTGTTGTGCTCCGAAAAACTATAAATCTGGTGGATGATATCATGGCTCAGATAGTGCAACCCATGCTGATGGTGACGTTTCCCGCTTAAACTGGATCCTAATCAGCGTTTCCAACTGCTAGGAGCTCAGCTTACCTGAAAGGTAGTTGGCCAGGGTCAGCTTCCGGGGATGGAACTCCCTATGAGCGTTTTATGCCAAAAACAACGGGATAACTTCTACCCCCAACTGCCAACTTACCCTGCGGCAGTCTGCGCTCCCCTGGTCGCCTCCACTTTGTCTGGTTGCCCTCCTGTCCGCCTCACGCTCCCTGTCGATTCGCTGCTGGGACAGCGTGAGGCTTGTCGCGAGCCTCGTGGGAGCTCGAGGCCAATCAGCGTTGCTCCTCTGCTGATTGGCTGGCAGGCGAACACAAATGAGACAGAGCGAAAGACGCGCACACGCGCCGGGGGCTAATGACCCCACCGATTGCCACTGACAAGGAACTTTCCTGAAGAGTCAGCGCGTGGCAACTGCTCGCAGAGCCTGTTGTACGCACTTTCTCGTCAGTAAAGGTTCTCCAACCCAATCCGTCCTCCCTGATATTGGATTTGGGAAGTTGTGTTTTGTCCACCATGGGGAACTCTCCAGTCACACTCCCATCTCAGCAACCTCTATTCCTAATGACTACTAATTACCAAATACGCAGGAGTGAGATAGCGGATAGGCGATTTTGTGTGTGAGCAAGCCCAGTTTTTCTTCTGCTGTGAGGCAAAAGATCGGCGGCACACCCCGGAGGTCCTTCGTCGCATGTGTACCTTCTGTCTGTGTCCGAGTAGACTCCTTTCGTGGTATCGCTGATAAGTTGAACCAAACACTCCTACTGAAACAACCTTAGTAGTTTGAAAAATTGACTCTTAAAAAGTGAGAAAATTGGTAAATGCTGTCAAACTGTCTGAACCAATAAGACATGTGCACTGGAGGGTGCGAGATTAGGAATCCCCGTAATACAGGTAGCCTTGTCCTAAGTCCTACGGAAGGAGAAGGGAGGTGAGAGTCATTGTTGGGGTTAGAGTTAAGGGGTTAGAATTAACGTTATAGTGAGGGAGAGAAGAGTTAGATCTATGAGGACCAGTGTTAGGGTTCGGACACGGGAGTCATATTGCGGGGGCAGAGTCATATGCCTGTCTAACGGCTTATGCTTTTACCCCACGTTAGTTAAAGTGTATGCCGGCTTAATTCCTGCCTTGCAAAAAAATCGAAAACCGACGTCCTGCGAAAACTGTCAAATTCTGGCGTTCTGACAAACTTGATACTGTGGAGAAATTCACGACTTCTGTCAAAATGTTCTCCGTGCCCACACCAACAAAGGGCACTGCTTAACTTATTTTGACGTCTACAGAGAGGAACGTGCTCTCTGATTTTCACAGGCATCCCAGTTCATCGGTTTCCTACCTCAAGGTAGAAACTATACCCCCAGCAGAAATCTCAGCGGGCATGATGACCCACGTAGCTAACGCATCATCTGCTGCAGCACAACAGAGACAATGCCTCACCTGCCGAGTTTCACTTGTAGGCTTCACGGTGGCTGTTCGGGAGACCCGCGGATTCAGGTGCATCACTCGCTCTGCGTCTGCCGAGTGACGACTCAACTCCCGACTCTCTTGCTGTTGCCTGCCTGAAGTCGTCGTGTAGGGGCAACGCCGTGTAGCACTCCATCTGGTTGCCGTAGAAACCTCCAAGATTGGATGAAGGCGAGTCTGGAGGGAACGCTGCAGTTTGCCAGTAGTCAGCGCGAGACGTGGCGACGAGTACATGACTGTTGCGGAATTTTGTGAGAGTAAACGAGGGTCTCTCAGAGAGGTTCGGGTATATATGGGCTACATATATATATATATATGTGCCATCAGTCATCCACTGACGTAAGGCTTGCAGGCGAGTGCGTATAAGTGCGTCTGTGTATGTTCCGGGTACCACCTATCACGGTCAGTGGAGAACCTGTTAGCGTTTTATCACGTCAAAAATATTTATATTCACTACGCAAACCTGTCTGCACATTAATTCAGTGAGAGACAGTGCGACTTGTGTTTAGTTTATTGAATGTGCACAAAACCTGCCGTCATTTGGCACTGACATACCCTGGAAGTTGCTTAGAGCGGTCTGCTTTACTGCATACCTCAACTTGTGTGATAGCATAATGTGCAAGGAAATGACGAATGTGTGGCTATTACAGGCTGTCGTCTTCAGCATGGCTAACTGATTTTTATAGATTATCGATTTTCGTTTTATTCTCGGCTGACATACAATTGATTACAAGTAATTGAATAGAAGAACCGCTCTCTCGACGTAGGTCTTGTGTAAAGCATGATAAATCGCAGAGCCCCCTCCAAGACATTTACAGTAGGCGGTTTAGCTCATGAAACGTGCAAAAAACACGGAAATTTCCGATAATTTGGAAACCAGCACAGTTTTATCAACAAAAACGGCATTTTTAAAGCAAATTCTTTTCCTATAAGTAAACTCGATTCGAAGGAGTAAATAATGTAGAGTAGACGTGCTGACTCATGAAATGTTAACCGAACTTCCGGAATACATTTTTGACTCGAAAAGATTGCTTAAGTAGGATTGTAATACTAATCACTGTGCCGCATGATTCTACAATAATTAAGTTCGTTAAAGATGCTGGTTTTTGAATAAGCTTCTTTCCGGCCGCCAGCAAAATACTACACTCTATAAAAAATGACTGCTTTAATAGTCTGAATTTTTCTCATTGATTCTCGACGCCCTTATAAATTCAAATATATTTCATAGAAAACATGCATAAAAATACTCAATCTTTCGCCGATAGAAGCAAACGGACGAGCTCCAGGTTGCATTTCAGAAGACGAAAATGCGATCACTTGATAGAAGATTACGTCTTCTTTAAATTTTATACGCAAAGGGAGGGTATAATTTGATTTGAAAAGTTTCCAATTAGGAGATTTTTTTAAGACCGTGAGAAGTCTGTTCATAAAACATTATGTCTCTGCAATTACTAATGTTGATTGTAACGTTTGCAACATGGCTCAAATTTTCTGCTAAATTTCAGGAACCCCATATGGTCTCCTCTCAATACCGTATAGAAATGTATGACTTTTCGATCACGAAAAATGTATAGCATGTGGTTTGGAAACCGTGACTGCAAATGTAACTCCGGGTAGGGTTCAAAATTATTCGGAAATCGGAAAAGTTTTGAAACCCACTTGTACGCTTCTTTTGAGCAAAAGGTTTAGAGAAGACATAATTTTCTACAAAATGAGTAAAAGGATGAATATCTTTATGCATGTTTTTTGTGGAGTATATTTGAATTTACAGGAACATCAAAAATTAATGAGGAAAATTCATGCTATCAAAGCAGCCATCTTTTATAGAGTGTAGTTTTTTGCAGGCGACCGGAAAGACAGGCGACCTAAAAGCCAGCACCTTGAACTAACTAAATTATCACGGGTTTATACTGCAAGGTGATTAGTACTACAATCCTGCTTAAATAATATTTTCGAGTCGAAAACGCATTTCGGAATTTCGGTTAACATTTCATAAGTTATCACATCAAGCGTTTGTCTATTTATGTAGATGTAATTTTCCCTTTTTTCGCATTGTTTAAGACGTTGTTGATCAAATAAGCTCAAGATGAAATTTGATATGGATATTTGAGCCAAAGTCTATCCGCTACTGCGTAATAATCGCAGCCAACAGGCGGCCAGTAGGTTGTGCATACTAGCAGCATAGGTGCTAGCTAAAAGCCCAGACACTCGTGTCTCGCCGATATTCTGCCGCTGCGTGGCACAGCTGCGAGGGACTCAGGTCATTGGTGGGTCCCCCAGCATTCCCATGTGCTTTCTGGTGAACACTCTAGCAAATACTCCAGTTTGTGATTAATTTTTGAGGATATTAAACAGCTCCCATTTCAAAAACTGGCATATCTGCCAGAAAGCCCATGAGAAACCACTGATGAGCCGAACCTCTCTCAGCTGCTCCATGCACAGGCAAAATATCGGCGAGACAGGCATGTATGTGCCTTTAGCAAGTACCTGTGCTGTCATGTATGGCATATCGTGCAACCTATGCTGTTGAATAAGGCAAAGCGGACTTCGCCTGAGTTCGCGGATAAGGATACCAGACATATATAATACAGTACAGCATATATGTACAGTAGAGCAGAAACACACTGCAGCGAACCGGATGACAGAAGGACAGAACTCCGCTATCTTCAACGCCTTTTCATGGCCAACGGATACCCCCGTAACTTCATCGAGCGCAGCAAACAGTCTAAAGCAGACCAAAATCGGGTGACAGAACAGCCAAAATTCTGGCGTGCACTGCCATACATCGACGGCGTCTCTGAGGCAGTTTCCCGCCTCCTAAGACCCTTGGGGATCGGGATCGCTAATCGACCAGACTCAACTATTTGACATTTGGTTATGAAACCTAAGGCCCCCCTGCCACGAGGTGAGACGACAAATGTCATCTGCCGGGTCCAGTGTAGCTCTTGTGAAGCTGACTACGTCGGAGAGACGGGCAAACGGTTACAAACCCGCGTTAACAAACACATGCGAGCAGTGAAGAGAATGGACCCATTGTCTCTGGTGGCGGAGCACTGCGCGGACTCTGGACACACTTTCGCCTTCCAAAACACCAAAATTCCGGGTCGAGGCAATGGCCGCGTAGCCAGAGAAACAATCCAGGCCTGGCACACGGAGACAACCTCAATAAACCATTATGTCGCCCTTCCGGCAGCCTACCAGGCCCTCCGGACGCAGCTCAACGAAATAAAGAGCAAGCGCGAAGTCAGGCCGGACGTGAATCCAAACACGGGAGAACCTACGACGGACCTACACGTTGCCACACCGCAGATCGGGCCCGACGGAGGCGCAGTCATCAATACTGTTGCCTCAACTACTACTCCGACAGACAGGGAGAAACGCGGTCAGACGGATGCAATCAAGACTAGCAACCCAGCACGACAATTAAGGTCAACGCGAATGTGGGTGATGGCCACCAACGTTCAAATGCCGCCCCCCCGACGAGAGACAGGCAGATTGACAGCAGTCACCCTCCCTCCCTCTCTACCCCGGCGACTACATAGACGATCCCTGTGCGTATGCGGGTCATTAGCGCCAAAGCCGATTAACCACTCCCCCTGTATAATTACCACTGTGTTAACATGACTGTTATCTACCCCCCCCCTCCTATAAATTCTGTGTGATGGCGTACGATACCTCCGACGATGAAAGCTTGTCTGCTTTTGAAACGTCAAGACAATATAATCATGGTTCCCGAGATCGCCTCTTCTTCTCGTTTATGTCCGGGGACTCGAATCTTCGCTTCTATTAGCAATATATTATGTACTGGAAGATGGGCATCCCAAGAAACATAATTCGAAGAATAATGAGTCCTTTGGGAAAATGAGCAAACTTTATTTCGTAAATTTTCGAGTCTGGTTCCTCAGCTCGTATTCGGACGTGTAGTAAGTGTGAAAAAAACAGTCAAAATTTAAACATGCCCAAAAAATCGATATTGATCTTTCATGGCTGAGGATGGGTTAATGCTGTGGGTTGATGTCGCGTCTTGATTGGCTATTACCTTTTCCATTTTTCCTCGAGATTTGTGTACATGGCGTCAAGATCAATGCGTCGATTGATACATGAGTCATCAGAGTGAATGGCCTCTAGGAATTCTCGGCCCTTCTTATGTGGGCAGGAACCGACAATGCGTGTTTTATTCCAAGCGAATTCGCGCCCAGTTTTAAGGGTATGCATGGCGAATTGGGATAAGAGGTACCGCCTCTTCACTGCCAATTGGTGTTCATGTAGGCGTGTAGAGGCGGATTTCCCGGTTTGACCACAATACACTGCATTACAAGTGTCACATGGAATCTCATAGACTACTTCTTTTGTATCCAAATAGCCAACCCTATCCTTAGGGTTTACAAGCTGATTGCGTAGCGTGGTAGTCGGTTTGTGAGCTACTTGTATTTGGTGCTTCCTCAGGTGTCTTTCAACGACCTCAGACATATTTTTAATGTAGGGAAGCGCTCGCCAGTGTTTTGGTTTTGGCGTCTGATCGGAACAATCTAGTTTCTTCTCTCTTTCTTTTGATTCCTGCGGTTTCATACATCGGTGTACAAAATCTCTGGGGTAGCCGTTTTGGGAAAATAAGTCGAACAGATAATTGAGTTCTTGTTTGTACCCTTCGTTCTCAGAGCAGTGTGTCTTTGCTCGATTAAGTAGAGTGTAAACAGCACTCCGTTTGTGAGATAAAGGGTGGTTGCTCTCGTACTGTAGGATAACTCCCGCGTAAGTGTCTTTGCGGTATACTGATGTCTGGAATGTCCCGTCAGTTTTCCGCTGTACGAGGACATCAAGAAATGGAAGTTATGACAGTGGCCGCTCACCGATCAGGTTACGGGGCATGCTCGTTCCGTTGTGCCTTGGGGCTCATACTAGAACTCTCGCAGGCAGTCGCACAGCGACTAGTAGTAGATGTAGATGAGATGGTGCCGACAAAGACAAGGGAGATCGGAATGACCAATTCTGGCTTATTAGCCGTCATCAGCCAGTCATACCCAACCCCAAGTGTGGATCAATTGAGATTCGAATCCGGAGTATTTGGTCATGAAGTTTGACACTCTGCCATTGAGCCACCCGCCAATACCAAAGATCCCGGGCTTGAATCTCAAGTGGTCCACTCTTGGGGTCGAATATGACCGGCTGATGACGGCTAATGGGCCAGAAATGGCCATTCCGGTCTCCCTTGTCTTTTTCGATACCATCTCATA